AATTCAAACCTGAATTAAAATAGGGAACACTGGAACAGTCACAAACTCTTTCAACACTACTGCAATCTGGTGAGAAATTAATAGAGAACTTGGGTAAAATAGGCAACACAGAGTACACATGTTTTATAGAATGTTGAGCATGGTGACAATCTGTTTGGTAGTGGAGATTAACAATCTGTACAGGTGTAGACACGGCTACTTCCACATTGTTAACAATGACTATACTCATTGGGAGGTGTACTCTATTGGTGGAAGTGCAAATCCCACCATTAACAGTCAGGGGAACAGATATCTTGTCCCTGTCAACCATTTTGCTAAAGAGGTTAATTCTACCCTTTTATTAAGTTGTTGCCTCAATCATATACAAGTGACACTATGTGACATCCTAAATTACTTTTGATGAATATGGTATTGCTCCAAGTAGTTAATGGACTGACAGGTAACAAAGAGAGTTGTCACTGGTAATAAGATTTGGAGGCACTGGAATTGGAGCTCGGAAGGTGCCCTTATGCTAAACAGTGCTTATTATACACCAACTGGGCGTGGAGTAGCAGCCAACTATGCCAGAGATATGCTCCTAAGGTCCTTNTTGGAGGCACTGGAATTGGAGATCGGAAGGTGACCTTATGCTAAACAGTGCTTATTATACACTAACTGGGCGTGGAGCAGCAGCCAACTATGCCAGAGATATGCTCCAAAGGTCCTCAGTAAGGTCAGCTAAGGTCCTCAGTAAGGGCACATTACTCCTAAGGTCCTCAGTAAGGGGTAAGGGCAAATTGCTCCTAAGGTCCTCACTAACAGAGTGTCAAAGATACGTTAGAATGTAGGGCTCTATCACTGTCCATATACCATGGAGCTGCAGGCCATATATAGAATTAGCAGGGCTCTATCATGACTCTTTCCTACACACAGCCTTCCCTACAATCTACTATATTAACATCATCCTTCCACCCTCCCATTCTACACTGCAGATTGTGAATTACCACATAACAAAAAAAGAAAAAAGGCACCACACATAAGAAATAAAAGAAATTGCACAAATTAAGGATAAAAACAAAAACCCAAATCAAGAAAAAGCAGAAAATGATCATTTGCATTACAAAAGAATTCATGTAACCTGTCCAAACTCAAAAGGAATTTCTTATCTCAAAATTTCCTTTGCCGAAATCGAAATTTCCTCCAAATCTCAAACTCACAAGTTATACGGACAGTTACCGATTGCATATACGTATACTCTACAGCAGTACAACCATTAGCAGATGAATATTGAATACCCATAGGCAATAGAAATATTAAAAAACTCACCTGCCGCTTGTGGACTTCGTAGCTGTTGTCGATAAACGTTCGCTGCTGCTGGGCCTGGTTCTATAAACTGTGGTTCAAACTTCACACCAATCCACCACTAGCATCAACAGGGGACGTGCGTGGACGGTGGATGCAATGGTCGGAAGAATGGGTGGACGTGTGTGGACGTTCGGAAGAATCGGTTGGAGAATTGGATGCATGGACTTTTCAATTCTCGCGTGTGGTTTGTAATAGGTTGGGAAGAATGGGAATTGGATTAGAACGACTTCTAATGGGCCAACTAACATGGGCCACTTGTTTCTACAGCAAATTTTTTACGGCGTGCACGTGCACGCCGTAAATACTTCGGATGGATTTTTTTCCCCGTCGTGCACACACAAACGCCATAAATACTTTATGGGGGCGTGAAGTCAATTGTTACGGCATGCACATATGAACGCCGTAAATATTTTTTACGGCATTCAGCAAATGCATGCCGTAAAAGGTCTCTTTTTACGGCGTGCATAAAATGCACACCGTAAATACTTTATGCAATTGATCTTTTACGGCACGCATTTTGTGCACGCCGTAAAAAAGACCTTTTACGGCACGCGTCAATTGCACACCATAAACATATGCCGTAAAAAGCTATTTTTATTGTAGTTAACATTTGTCTGATGTTCATGTGTGGTATCAGGTGGGATTTCTGTTGCTACATTGTGGAATTCCCCACTGATAATAGAATCTAATA